GAGTGATTTGCTGTATTGGTGTTGGTTCAGTGTTTGGGTTGGGTTAATTGGTTGAAGTGCAATCTAACAAGTGTATGTCATTTCATTTGTGACAATGTTTTGGAGTGTGTTCATCTAGCTTTGTGCAGAAGCTGCAAGGAATAATCCCAAACAAGATATTTGGGAGAATTAACAGTTATCTTGTTAGACCTATCCTTCTTTCAATCTGTTGTGTTAAAAAAATTCTGCATTTGTGTGACAAAGCCAACTACTATTTTGTTGCTGTTAGAAATTTGTTAATTATTTTTTGGTGATGTGTTCTGTCAAACTTTGTTGGTTGTATTAAAGGATAAATATGTATTTTTTGGTCAACTGGGTTTAGTGTTTATATATTTTTAAATCTAATTTTTTATTTGCTTGCATTTATTTAGCTTGCAGCAATTCTCATTTGTTAAAATTCCTTAAAGATTGAGATTGAGAATTGCAGCAAAGTGAGGAGGAGGCAGCTCTTGGTCGTGGGAAGCGCAAGAGCCTAAGTGAAACATTGGGTGAGGTACTTCAGTTAGATATATGCTTAAGCATATTGCTTTTTCTAGTCTACCTTTCATGTGTATCTGCACTTTCATTATCTTAAATATGTCGTATGTTTTGGTATTTGATGACTTTTGACTTTATATTGGTTGAAGATGTTGATCATAGTTAAATTAGTTTTGGATTTATATATTAGTTTGTAATTTTTTATAATACATATTTAAGAACAAAAAATATATATTTAATGTTTAAAATAATTATTTTTATGGTTTAGAAATATAATCCTGTCCTAAATTGCACCAAACATAGAACAGTGCTAAATAGCACTATTTTGCCCATTAGTCCCCCTTTAAAAGTCCAGCACTCAACCAAACATAGGACAAGACTAAGTCCAAGCCAGTCCTTGAATCTAGTCCTGTCCAATCCAGTGCATAACAAACGCTCCCTAAAGTTTATGGGGTTTTGTATAATCTTTCTAGACATAATTGGGTCATGGTGGTTTTCATTTTCATGATAATGAGTGGAAAGTTAAAGAGCATTTTTGTGTACAGAACTAAAGTAAGATGGTTTTATATGGAAGCTGTGGTTATGAATCGATTAAAAAGTTCTACTTTGGTAATTATTGTGTCTGTTTTCTGTACTGCTGTGCTAAGCAAGTAACGTGTTGCACATTATACCATCCAAATATGAAATAGGGGTTTGGTTCCAAAGCATCTCTGAATATGTCAATACTTGATTTGGATGACTTGTTGTGGTGTTTTCTGCATTTGGCTCATTGGCTTTTGTCTACCCTTTCTGGAGCAGATGTGATTTTATATGGTTGAAAAGTTTTGGCACGAAAGGAAATTATGGCACTGAGGAAGAAATTGTGCGAGAGTTCCAATTTCAATGGCAAATTTATGTACACCTTTTCAAGGTATTTTAGCTCAAATAAGATGGACTTAAGGAAGCTAAAGCCTATGATTCAGAAGAGAATCCAAGACCGGGCTAAGGATTACCCAGTACAAGGCATGATTCCAGTGGCCCAAGAGGTCCTTAATTCCCGGAGGCTCATTATGCAAGGTGTCTCTACTCTCCTCAAAGTGTTACCAGTTATGGCCTGCAAGTAAATCCCCCATCTGCCATTTTTAATTTTTTATGTTACTTTTAATTCTTGAACTATTTGGCATTGAAATCCTCACTTTTCTATTAGATGTTTCATGAAATAATATCGACTTTGATCTGCGTGTTCTTTTTCAATTCTAGGCTTGTGTTATGAGGAAAATTCCATGAAATCTAGGATAATTGAGTCACTTTGTAGCTATCAATAGTGGAATACATACTTAAGCCCTTTTTTAATACAAATTTTATTGGATCTGTCTTCTGAAATTATTTTCATGGAAAATTCAGAGTTTATGTTCTGTATTTCATCTCGGAAAAATTAGACCACTATATCTACATGTTCCTGAGCTCCCTAAGTGCTATTTTTGAGAGCTGCACTAGCTATGTTTTCCAAATTAGAGTTAATCTAATTGATCTCCATTCTCCCTCCTGATCTGCTGGACATTTTCTGTGACTCAAAAGAAAGGCCAACGTTTTTCATCCATATCCTACTTTTACAGGTTCTGTCCAGAAGTATACATAGGCGAGAAAGGCCACTTAATTCAGACTTGTTGTGGTTTCAAACATCGTGACAAGAATCGCGTTCATGAATGGATAACTGGTGGTTTAAATGATGTGCTTGCTCCAGTAGAGGCATTTCACCTGAAGCACATGTTCAAGGATGTTATTAAGCACCATCAGAGGTTTGACTTTGAACGTGTTCCTGCAGTTGTCGAGCTATGCTGGCAAGCAGGGGCAAATGATGAAAATCGGTATTCAAATTGGAACCCAGAAAGTGATTGTTTTAGTGTTGATGGAGCTGAGTCATTGCCATCTGATGAACTTCTTATGATTGCCAGTGGAACTTTGAGGGCACGGGAAATTCTCAGAAATGGTGTGGAGAAGTTGTTGACGGTTTATCCAGCAAAAGTTTGTAACCATTGTTCAGAAGTTCATATAGGGCCATCTGGGCATAAGGCTAGGCTTAGTTGGCAGGGAACCCACTTTTGGAGAAAGGCAAATGTAGATGATCTTATGCCTCCAAAGATTGTATGGCGGCGGCGGCTTCAGGATCCTCATGTGCTTTTGAACGAAGGGAGGGGCTTTTATGGGCATGCTCCAGCAGTAGTAGAACTATGCACACAGGCTGGTGCCGTTGCACCTTTGAAGTATCACTGTTTGATGAAACTGCAGGGTGTAGCTACACTAAGAAATCAAAGTTTGTACCATCCGAAAGATCAAATGTGAACGCAGTTAACTCCAAGGTGGGAAATTGAAGCCCAGCAGAAGCTCCCTAGGACCATAGATGCATAGAATTGTTTAACTATGATGTTTGATGATCTATAGAGGGAAATTGAAAGCCCCACAGAAGCTCCCTTATCATCTGATCTTGGTTCTTGAGACACATTGTAACCATCAGATAAATGACGAGGGAGCCCAAGATGGGCCCCACAATGAAATGGCACGTTTTGTCCCCTTCACTTGGAGCATGAAAGAGCTGAGAAAATGGGTAGCTTTGCTTTTATGGACACAGA